GTTACTAGATATGATCTACAAGGGACCAGTTCCAACAAATATCCCCTGCCACCATTTTCGGTATTTATACTTGCGTTTTGAAGACCTCCTAAAAATGGAATCCTGGAAAAAACCAATTCTGCAAAAACCCAAACCACTCCCTCTCAATTTACGACCTAAATCCGACCAGTCACTCTCTATTTCATGGCTAAAATTGGTATGAAATCTAGGGAATTTTTAAAGGGTGAAAAGAGAGGTTATAAACTTAGGCTAAGTGGAGTGGGGATGTCAAGCCCATTCGCTAAGCTCGTTAGCGAGCCATGAACACCGCCCCTTTAGCGCTCGCTACGGGGGTCGTTACTAGATCCTCGTTACCATTTTAGCGAGAAGAGAGAGAGAGAGAGAGAGAGAGAGAGAGAGAGAGGGTGGAAGCTGAATGGTGGAGACGGATGGAGAATTTTGATCATGTTCCTTTTGATCCTCGATATCTGTCTGATTCTTTGTGTTTCTTTTTTGTTTTCTTAAACCTAGAGGGTATTTGGATTGCCTTTTAAAATGACTTTTACTTTATCTTTTGGAAAAAGTCCAAAAAGATGTTTGGTAAGGTAAAAATGACTTTTATAAATGACTTTTTCCATAGAGTATTTTGAGACTTTTTGAAAAGTCACGTATACATGATTTTTCCTAACTTTTCAGCAACTAAAAATTGGAAATTACCAATATGCCCTTATCTACCCTAATTAACGTCACATTCATTCACGTCACATTCATTCACAGTTTCTTCTTGTTCTCTCCGCTCACGCACTCTCTCTCGCATCTCGACCTCTCGACCTGCAACAAACACCGGCGACGCCGACGACCTGCAACACCGGCGACATCGGCGACCTGCAATACCGGCGACACCGTTCGACTGCAACCCCGCGATCAAGTTTGTTTCTATTCAATTTCCGATCTCAGATGTGATTCCCGATCTCAGATGTTGCAATCTCTTCCTGTCTATTTGTGACAACCGTCAAATTTCGGTCAAGTCAAAGTCAACTAAAGTCAGCAAGTCAAACCGTTTGACTCAATTTGCCCTTGGGTACTAAAATTTACACTATGAAACTTCTACATAACCTCTATTCTAATGAGAAATCATAAAGCAAAAAGTGCGAACATCTAGATCTCCTTAACCTAAAACTGTGGTACGTGGCGAGCCAAACCGATAAAACAATGATGCATACTCATAGGGAGTGTGTAAGATCCTTAAACAAGGCTTAAAAGGGTTTACGAACCATGCATTGCGATGTCGGACACTCACAATTGTCACACATGGAACCTCTCTCAATCGTTTTCACTCTATCTCTCTCTATTTCAAATCTCTCCCAAATCTCTCCAAGTATGTGAAATCTCTCTCAAATATCTCTCTGTATTAGAAATCTCTCCAAGAATGTCGAATCTCTCCCAAATCCCTCTAAGTATGTGAAATCTCTCTCAAATATCTCTCTGTATGAGATATCTCTCAAAGAATGTCAAATCTCTCCCAAATCTCTCCAAGTATGTGAAAATTCTCGCAAATATCTCTGTGTATGAGAAATCTCTCCAAGAATGTCAAATCTCTCCCAAATCTCTCCAAGTGTGAGAAATCTCTCCCAAATCTCTCTCAAAAGTTTCCCGTAACTTTTTGGAATCATTCAGGTCATTCCGACCCTTAACCGGGTCAAAAACGGCTTAAAACGGGGTAAAAACGAGAAAACGGGACCTTAGGAACCGAAACCCCTCTTAAGGAGCCGAAGCTCCTTAAGGCCGAAAGTACCCCAGACCGGACCGAGCCTCTGTTGGCTGAATCTGGAGGACTGAGCCTCTGTTGGCTGTGGCACGTGAGGACCGAGCCTCTGTTGGCTGTGGCACGCGAGGACCGAGCCTCTGTTGGCTGTGGCACGCGAGGACCGAGCCTCTGCCTCTGTTCGCTTCTCGCACTCTCTGTTCGCCTTCCGCCTCTCTGTCGCTTCCTCTCCTCTCTGTCGTTTCTTCACTCTCTGTCTCTACCCGCCTCTCGGTCTCTGCTCTCTCTTCCCGCCTCTCGGTCTCTGCTCCTTCTCTCCTCTCTGTCTCTTCTCTTCTCTCGGTCTCTCTTCTCCTCTCTCGGTTCCCTCTCTCTCCTTTCTCCCCTCTCGGTTCCTACCCTCTCCCTTCTCCCCTCTCGGTTTCTACCCTCCCTCCTCTCGGTTTCAGCATCAGAAGGCCGAACCTCGGCCAGAATTCGGAAATTTGTCACTTTTAGCCCATTTTTGATATTTTTAACATTTTAAGCCCGTTTTTCGTGATTTTAAAGCAGGATTTTCTCCAGAAATTATATTTTAACATAATAAACTCTAAATATTCATAATTTAAACATATTTTGATGAAAATCATTATTTAAATAATAAAAATCAAATGGGTGAATTATTAAAGGTGGAGTGTTGACTTTGCCTTATCCAATGTCACAAGCAACCACCTCACACCCACTCTATGACCATCCATACCTCTCCACCTTACCTAGGTCACTTCAATGTCCCTTACACTCAAATTACACTCATTCCCACGTTTTTAGAGCTGGAACAAGCATCCTCTCTCCTCATTTCTCTCATTTGCTCTCATTTCGCTAAGTATCAAACACCACTTTTCTCTTAAACTTTTTCTCCACCAAAATCGAGATTCAAGGCTGATTATCAAGTGTTCTTCCACATTTGGTAAGGATAATCCATTCTCCTTATGATTATCTCACTTATTTCCACTCAAATCATGGATATCTTACACAAACTCCATCATATTTGTGTTAGAGCTTCGAATCTTCAAGTGATTCTTCAAGTGTTCTTGGCTTGAACACTTCTCTTCTTCAACACTTATCTACTGAAATCACTCAAGGTGAGTTCATACCCCTACATTTTCATGTTTTCTCAAGTTTTCAGGGGGGGAATACAAGTTAAAACACTAAGAACATAACTAAATTTTTCTAACAGCCTTCATCAGAAAAGTTCAACTCCCTTCACGGACTGTTTTGGGCATCTTAAAAATTTTTGTTTTCAAAACTGTACAAGGTGCAAATAGTTCAAGTTTTTAGCTTTAAAATGACTACTTGCACATCTCCATACGATTTTTCTACAATTTATGGTGATTTTTACAAAACTGCCTATCATTTCAAACAACAATCCGGACCAGTCTGTGATTATGGACTTTTTCGCCCAAGTTGGAGGTCATTAAAAATCGTGATAAAAATTATGAGCAAACTAGACACATTTTGTGAACTCTCAGAATTTACGGATCTAGTTTTCGACTTCGTATGATTTTTCCAAAACAGGGCAGAATGGCTAAATTTAGCCAACAGCATGTAAATATCATAACACTTTGTAATATGTTGAGCAAAGTGTATAATCATAAGTTCTAATTATTGAATGTGTTTCTTTGTTAGTTTATCATCATGAACTGAAACTAAGTCATTCATAATAAATATTATTCATTCATTTTAGAACACGTATATTAAACTATAAAAAGTATAGTTTGATAAATTCATAACACTAATACATTTCCATAAAAGAGTTCATACATATTACATACATTTTAGATAAATTATAATAGGTATAGTTTATGATACATCACTCAACACACTCGTACAAAAAGGGTACATTCATACAAGAAAGATTTATATTCACACACATTTCACGTAAATTTGTTACCTATAGTTTGATAAATTCATAACACTAATACATTTCCATAAAAGAGTTCATACATATTACATACATTTTAGATAAACTATAATAGGTATAGTTTATGATACATCACTCAACACACTCGTACAAGAAGGGTACATTCATACAAGAAATATTTATATTCACACACATTTCACGTAAACTTGTTAACCTATATTGTAAGACTCTCTCTCTCTCTCCCCGTACGTCCGAGTGCGGGATATAATTCCTGGTAGTTATAATCAGAATCTCCTTGAGGGAGAACGTGATACTTGTATATAGATCTATATTGGGTTTGACACCCCACACCTTGCTGCTAGCTACAGTGGGACCTGCAGGTCTACGGGTGACAAATGTCATTTTATTTTTCGCGACGTCTGAGAACGTCGTGGCAGGTTCACATAGTCACAGTATGATTATAGCGACTCACATAGGGATATAACAATCCATAAGTGTACGGGATTTTATTTTTAAAACCTAAATGAGTTTTATGTCGATTTAAAATCACTTTTTATCTCTATGAGTACATATATTACTGTACACTTTTGGTTTTGGTAGTTACGACTACACATCATTTGAAACCACATTTATACTTTTAAGTATGGTCAATACTTGTTATTTCTCGGTCCTCTAATTTAGGACTACATATATATAAAGTATTAACGAACATGAGAACATACAGAAATTTCATTTAATTCAAACGCGTCCATGTCCATTTAAGTACATAACATTTTCTATTAATAAGAAAGGTTACTTATACATTTTGGTCTTCAGTCATAAGACTACATTAAGCAGATTTTAAAGAAAATATCGGATTTTCTGGATACATATTCTAACGCTTTTACAAGGAAAACGATTTACTTTTTCAACGAAATCTCTTATGAACTCACCAACCTTTGTGTTGACACTTTTCAAAACTACTTGTATTCTCAGGAATTCAGTGAAAACAGGAAATCAACAACGTTTTGAGGATGGGATGATAAATCGTCAAACAGTTCATTTTGTATTATAATGTAATTGATGTGAATCATGTAAACATGTGCTTTGATGTAACATTTTCAATTATATTTGTATTGGTTGTATTTACTTTGAGCACTATTATACTCATTGTTGTGATACTCTACATGAAGTCCTCCACCCCTGGACGTTTCCGCCATCCTTGGTTTGGGGGTGTGACACTATTTTCGATTTCCATTTGATTTCCGATCTATGATGTTACATTTGATTTCCAATTTCCGATTTCCATTTGATTTCCGATTTCAATTTGATTTCGGATTTCTGAAATTGATATTGTGTAATCGATTTGCTGTGAAAATGATGTGGGCGTTATTAAGAGACATGCATGTTAATTACAAGTACAAGAACCAAGTGAAAATTGTGATAGCATCGATGGCGATCCATAACTACATTCGAAAGGTTGGTAGGTTTGATGAAGCGTTTAATAGGGCACAACAAGAATCCTACAATCCCGTACGAGGTGATACCGGTAGTGATGTTTATGAAGAAGGTCCAAGTACACGTCGCACGAGCAATGATGATTTATATATGGCAGCGAGACGGGATATTATTGCACAAGATATAATCACATTACGCAGATGAATGTAATATTATCTATGATATTTTTTTATGAATTATTTACAATTTGTATGAACATAATTTTAATATTGTCATGGTCTAATCCAAAAAATTAGAAATATTTTAATTTGTATGAACGTAATTTATATTTTACATTTATATGAACGTAATTCTAATATTGTCATGGTCTAATACAAAAAATCCTCTTATAAATTATTTACAATTTGTATGAACGTACTAATTTTAATATTTTCATGGTATAATGTAAAAAATTAGAAATATTTAAAAAAAAATTTATATTTTATATTTTCTAATAAAATGTTTATAAAATTATAATATGTGTTTAAATTTTTTTTATATAAAATAATATATGTAAAGTAGTAAATCAATGTAAATATGTAAACATGTCATTTTTTGTCATTTTACAAATAAAAGTTAAACCAAACACTTGAACTTTTGACTTTTCCCTTCAAAAGCTAATCCAAACACATTTTAAAAAATAACTTTTCTAAAAAGTCCTTTTCCAAAAAGTTCTTTTACAAAAAGGACTTTTACAAAAAGGACTTTTGCCCCACAAAAGTTAAACCAAACACCCTCTCATTCACAGTTTCTTCTTGTTCTCTCCGCTCACGTACTCTCTCTCGCATCTCGACCTCTCGACCTGCAACAAACACCGGTGACGCCGGCGACCTGCAACACCAGCTACACCGGCGACCTGCAACACCGGCGACACCGTTCGACTGCAACCCCACGATCAGGTTTGTTTCTATTCAATTTCCGATCTCAAATGTGATTTCCGATCTCAGATGTTGCAATCTCATCCTGTCTATTTCCAATTTCCATTTGATTTCCGATCTATGATGTTACATTTGATTTCCGATTTCCGATTTCCATTTGATTTCCGATTTCAATTTGATTTCGGATTTCTGAAATTGATATTGTGTAATTGATTTGCTGTGAAAATCATGTGCTGTGAAATTTATTTGCTGTGAAATTGATTTGCTGTGAAATGTGCTCCTTCCGATTTCAATGTCGTGTTTTGAGACCAAAATGTTATCGTCATTAGATATTGGATTATAGCAATAGAGTTATATATTTGAACAAAAATGTTCACATTGATTTTGTGTTGCAAGATTTTGGGAATTGACTTCCAAAGTCAACATACAAACATAATTTCATCATAAGCAAACCCAAATCTGATAATCTGGATTATTAGAATGGATTTTGAATTGAAATCGAGTTAGAGTTGCTTACTATATGTCATATAAAATTATTTTGATTGAAAAACAAAAATGAATTTACTTTTCAAGTTAGCAATAAATTACAAGAAATATTAAAGGGTTTTTAGTTTTTACCATCTTATATGGGATCATGTTGTACATCATTTTGTTGCAAAATAAGCGTATTAAATACCATCTTAAATGTCGTTTGTGAGATCACTTATTTATATACTTCATCCACATTACAAACAATACAAGTTTCTCTTTGTTGAAAATATTGGTGTGCCAAAATAGGTTTAAGCGAAATTGACTATATTGTGAAATTGATATGTTCTGATAATCTATTTTTTCTATTTTGATTAGAATTTTGATAAAATAATGAAATCATTTAGAAGGGTTAATGAAATTGGTTTGTTGCTTAAATGTTAATACTATATGTATTCACAGATAATGGATGAAAACAACACTACAAATGTTGATTGTGAAACATCTTTAAAAATGAAAAAACCAAAATTTGGGTGGGATAATCGTAGCTTCATGGTGTTTGTTGATTCATGCTTGATTGAAAAAAAAAAAGGTCGTAAACCCACTTCCTCCTTTGATAAAATTGGGTGGGAAAATATACAAAGACGTATTAAGGAGAAAACAGGTTATAACCTTGAAAAAAAACAACAAACAAACAAATGGGAGGACATGAAAAAAGATTGGAAGCTTTATGACCGCTTAATGAGACTTGAAACCGGACTCGGTGGGACGAGAAGCCTAGTAGATGCGTTCCCCGAGTGGTGGGAGGAGAAAATAAAGGTACGATTACTTTTTTTTTTTTTAATTATTTTAAGTTATGATTTCATATAGATTGAACATATTTGATTTACAATATCTTTTTGTCTTGTAGGAGAATAAAGATTATGCCAAATTTAGGAACACAGATTTGAGCATATTTGATGAGAAATATGCTTTTTTGTTTCGGGATTCTGTTGCCGTTGGAGATCAGACTATGACTCCATTACAATTTCAAAACAATAGCAATCCAAACGAAGAAAATATGGAGGGCAAAGGAGATAGTGATGAAATCAATTTAGATGATGATGAGCCTCTTTTTACTAGTCTCCATGAAAGTAGTTCAAGTAAAAGGAAGAGGTCTATATCTGTTTCCAACAACCGTCCAACCAAGAGTAAAAATTCTATTTATGAAGAAAAAGTTGATGCTTTATTGGATGCCATATCATCAAAAAGCACACAAACTTATCCACAAAATAATCTGTCCCCAACAATAGCAGATTGCATGGCCATTGTCATCAAGTTCCCCGATTTTCGTGAAGGGTCCAACAATTTTTCACAAGCCTTGTTTGTCTTCACCAAAAAGCAAAACCGTGAAGCTTTTATGTTTCCAACGACCGACGAAGCCAAGATGGAGTTTCTTAAGTTACTTATGAAATAATGATTTAGCCATATGTGTTATGCTTTGACATTTATGTGTTATCCGTTGACATTATGTATTGTCCTTTGACATTATCCTTTGACATTATGTGTTGTCCTTTGACATTATCCTTTGACATTATGTGTTGTCCTTTGACATTTTATATTATGTGTTATTGTTTGACTTTATGTTATGTGTTAATTGTTGACATCATTTTATTTGTATTATGTACGATGGATAGTGATGATTCTAATTCATCGAATGATAATGAAGAATGTGTAATGGAAGAGGATAGAGAATTTGAAATGTTATGTGGATTAGCTTTGAAAGGGATAATACTCGCTCGTAACTTACGTACACCATGTCACACATCAGATCGCACAGGGCACATGTTTATTACAGAAGTACTAAATGGCCATCCTAGACGTTGTTATGAGTTGTTTAGACTCAACGTACCGGTTTTTAGACAGTTATGCTTAGATCTTGCTACAAATTACGGGTTACAACAAACCCGAAAAGTATCTATAGAGGAGTCTGTAGGAATATTCTTGATGACTTTGGCGCATGGGTGTAGCAATAGATTTGTGCAAGAATTTTTTAATCATTCAGGGGAAACGATTCACAGGCATTTCCATACAGTTTTGGAAGCCGTGCTAAAACTGAGTGCCGACATCATCAAGCAGACGCAAACTATAATGATGATGTTCCCGAATATATATTAAATAACCCTCGGTATTATCCAATGTTCAAGGTATTATCCAATGTTTATTTTCTTGGTAGTCAAACTTTAACAAATAATTTATTTATGATATATTTTTGAATTTGAAGGATTGCATTGGTGCTATAGATGGGACACACGTTAGGGCATCGTTCCACAAAAAGATGAAGTGAAGTACATTGGTCGAAAAGGATATGCAACACAAAATATAATGGCTGTTTGTGATTTTAACATGTGCTTTACATTTGTTTGGGCCGGTTGGGAGGGGACTGCACACGATACAAGAATTTTCAATGAAGCCTTACAGAGACCAGATCTTAATTTTCCCTATCCAACGGGTGGTTAGTATTTTTTTTTTTTTTTTTTTTGGAATACAAGTTTTATGTTTTTACTACTTGTTTGAAACGAATAATAAATGTTTGTTTTATTTACAGATAAATATTACGTTGTTGATGCTGGATATCCAAATACGAGAGGGTATCTTGCTCCATACAAAGGCACAAATATTCGTTATCATTTACCAGATTTTCGACGTGGACACACGGCTGCTATTCGAGAACCTCGTGGACCGAAAGAGAAATTTAACTATCTCCATTCATCATTGCGAAATATCATTGAACGAACTTTTGGAGTGTGGAAAGCTAGGTGGGCGTTATTAAAAGACATGCATGTTAATTACAAGTACAAGAACCAAGTGAAAATTGTGATAGCATCGATGGCGATCGATAACTACATTCGAAAGGTTGGTAGGTTTGATGAAGCGTTTAATAGGGCACAACAAGAATCCTATAATACCGTACGAGGTGATACCGGTAGTGATGTTTATGAAGAAGGTCCAAGTACACGTCGCACGAGCAATGATGATTTATATATGGCAGCGAGACGGGATATTATTGCACAAGATATAATCACATTACGTAGATGAATGTAATATTATCTATGATATTTTTTATGAATTATTTACAATTTGTATGAACGTAATTTTAATATTGTCATGGTCTAATCCAAAAAATTAGAAATATTTTAATTTATATGAACGTAATTTATATTTTACATTTATATGAACATAATTCTAATATTGTCATGGTCTAATACAAAAAATCCTCTTATAAATTATTTACAATTTGTATGAACGTACTAATTTTAATATTTTCATGGTATAATCTAAAAAATTAGAAATATTTTATATTTTATATTTTCTAATAAAATGTTTATAAAATTATAATATGTGTTTAAAATTTTTTATATATAAAATAATATATGTAAAGTAGTAAATCAATGTAAATATGTAAACATGTCCTTTTTTTATATCATTTTACATATAAAAGTTAAACCAAACACTTTAACTTTTGACATTTCCCTTCAAAAGGTAATTCAAACACATTTTAAAAAATAACTTTTCCAAAAAGTCCTTTTCCAAAAAGTCTTTTTACAAAAAGGACTTTTGCCCCACAAAAGTTAAACCAAACACCCTCCTATATCAGTTTCCTTTTGATCATGTTCTTCGAACAATCAAAAAGCAAGAAACTACATCCAACGCTAAACACCCAAACCCTAAATTAGAGACGATGATGAAGAATTTTTCGTTGTCTAAGTAAATCGGGTGAAGTTTGAGACTTACTGTCTCTTGGCAGGATAATTTTTGGAGGCTTGTGATGGAATTTCCACAATTGCAGCAGCCGAGATGTTTGCAGCCATGGCAGTTTCTATTAACAAATCTTAATTTGAAGCTGTTTTTTGCATCTATGAAGTGCGCATCACTAAATTTTTGTTGAATTTGAGAGATGTTAGATCAAATCGTATGATCTAAGTCTCTTTTATGTCTGTTTTTGCATCGAGGAATACCGACATTATGCGGGCCTGCTGCTAAAAAGGTTTCTATTAATTTATCATTCAAATTTATTGGTTAAAATAAAATATTGTAAATAAATAAATGAAAAAAGTACTACCTTGAATGTTTCTATTTAAAATTGGTTAATCTTAAAGAAAAAATTGTTGTTGTAGGGTTAGACTGATGTTAATTTGGCAAAGGTATTCATCCAACTCAACCTATACAGCTTCACACAACAATTTTCAAGAAGGCAAAAACTTAAATAGGTTAATAGGTGAGAAAGAAACCGAAAAGCTCTGCCATATTGTTTCTCTATTTGTTTAGAGGGTGGTTCGGTGATTATATTTTCATGTTCTTAAAATTTGGTTGCTCTTTATCCTGTTGATGGATTTTTTGCCCACATGAACGGTTTTGCCCTTGCCACTATTTGGCTCCAGATGTGGTTTGTGTATCTCTCCAATGTTTTGCTCCTGATGTGTAACACCGTAAATTTCAAAACAATTGTTTTTTGAATTTTCTTATAAAACATAATTCGATTAATATTCATCAAACAGCCATATTAATTATCCAATATAGGTCAATACAAAATCCCAAGATCACAATGTAAAAACTCCGAGTGTGTGTGTACGGATCAAGCCGGCGCCTTCCCGCGGTCGTCACTAGTACCTGAAACAATAACATCAAACACTGTAAGCACAAAGCTTAGTGAGTTCTCCAAAATACCACGTTTAACACATAATAGCCACTCGAGGCTATAACTCTGTGGGTCCGTTCACCCAAACTCTGTGAACCCTCAGGTTCTAACTTTGATAAACATGCACCACATAATCACATAGAAATAATGCAGTACAACACATAACATACATAGCATACAAATACTCTATCACATAACTCTGGTTACCTACTCAAGGTAAAGTATAGTGAGAAGACTCACCTCGCGTATCTCGGTATCTCACGAATCCTGGAAATCCCTCGTGCTCGATCCTCCGAGCTCTAATCCTCCTATAACATCATATGTCTCTAATTAACACTTTATATCTCTAAGGTTGACTATCCCTAAGAAGTCAACACAGGTCAACTCTGGTCAACGGTCAACGGTCAACTTTGACCGGACTCGGTGAGTGCTACGGCGACTCGGCGAGTCTAGACGTTTTCACCAACCCTCTGAAATTCCCTTCCTACACGTCGAGTATTCCCCCCTTTACTCGACGAGTTTCACCTGGAAGAATCGCGGGGCCACCCCGACTCAACTCGCTGAGTCTTAAGAACAACTCGGCGAGTCCCAGTTCGACTCAGTCCACTCGTCATCCCTCTCTAATTCACCTTGACTCACTGAGTCTACCCATGACTCGATTGGACCACTCACTGAGCAATCCCAAGGCAATCTTCAAACTACTCGCCGAGTCTGATGAACAGACTCGGCGAGTCCATGCCATGTAACCACTCCAACTTGCTTCTAAGGTCAAATCTTCTTTCACAATCTATAGATCTGGCCTCCCTAGACTGATTCATCACGTAAAGCTTCTATCTTGGTGCCCATAACACACCCCATGGCTCATAAATGGAGTTTTGACCTAAGGCATGAGGATTCCAATCCAAAGCCTCCATTGATTCCCAAAAAGCTTGGGTAAAGGGACACTCTGGACCTCTAAGGGTCCAGATCTATGGTTCAAACCTCATAAGGGACCAAGAGGACACTAGATCTTGCCACAAAAGGGTTCAACAAACCCTAAATCTAGATAAACATCAACAAGGTAGAAGATAACTCGAAATTATTACCACAATAGTGATGCTCTGGACTCCAAACCCTCAGAAGTGGCTCCACTTGCTTTCCCTTGGCTAGTTCTTCTCCTTCCTTGCAACAATGACACCTCCAAGATCAATAATGGCCTCCTACTTTGCTCCAAATGCTCACACTCGATTAGGGTTTCAGTTAAGGGACTGGTGAGCACAAATGACGGCCATTAGGCCCTTTAAATAGGTCTCAAACCCGAGAAATTAGGGTTTCATTACACAACGCTGACTCGCCGAGTCCAGGCGCGATCCCGCGACCAGATCCGCGTCCCTACTCGGCGAGTCTGAGCTCCAACTCGCCGAGTCCCCTCTCAAATCACCAAAAACACAAATATACAAGATACCTGAAAAATCCGGTTGTTACATGATGTGGAAGGGTTTATATGATTTTGATCATTATTTTGGGATGATCTATATCCTGTGATATTAGATTTTTTTCCATTATGGACAGTTTTGCCCCTTGCTCCAATTTTGCTCCTGCTGTGGTTTTTTTCTATTGTCGGCCTTGCTCATTGTTTTTTTGATTGCTTGTTGTTTTCACAGTGCTTACGGAGAAAGTCATGTAAATATTTTTTGTTCTCTTTTGGTTTATTGTTTGTTGTTTTTAACTATGTTTTATAGCTTTTAGTTTTCCTTTTCCTTTGTTGTAAGTTGCTTTGTTTGTTTCTAGCTTCCGATTGTTGTTTATATAATATTTGTTATGTAATATTTTGTTTCTCTTAAGTGCATCAGCCCTTTTTATATTTGTTGTTTGTAATTTTTTTTTTCTAATTTACGTGTCCTATTTTTTTCTCTTATTATTTTTCCAGAAGAGACTCTCTTTTAGTCCAGTCATCAATTTGTTACACCAAATTATTGTTTTGCCCTTGCATCAATTTATATTATATTAATTGTTGTTGGTTTAAAAAAATAAAATTTGCTTAATATTTGTGCATAAAAAATGTTTGTGTATTAAAATAAAAGTAATTTAATTAAATTAGAAAAAGAAAAAAAAATAGTGTGTTAGGAGTGTTACTACTCTTTACCAAATACTAAGATTAGTTGTTAAATGAAGAAAAATGAGTTGACAATCAAAAAGATGACATGACAAGATGCTAAGAGTTTTATCACTCCTTTAGCCTTAAAGGAACAATCAGTGGAGCGATTTCCGACAAGTTTTCCTCGATTTTCCTTAATTTGTAGCAACTCAAAAGATTTTGAGTAGTGGACCAAATTATTTGTAGCAACTCAAAAGATTTTGAGTTTTTTAAAGAATTATTTTAAAAAAGCACCCAATTCTAAGAGTTGATTAAATGGAATTTAGTGTATCAAATAGTTCAACGTAAATTCTTTTGACAAAAAATTTGCACCGAGTTTCTTACTAGTTTACTTTATTCGCACCCAAGTAAATACCAATTGGATTGAGTTCCATGTCCATGGACAAAATTGCAATATTTTGTCACATAAGAAAATGTGGCAAATTTAGGAATGAATCCATGTGTTGTGTTCGAAAGAAGAAAGACATTTGTTTTCATTGTCACAGTTGTGTTCGAAGGAAGAAAGACATTTGTTTTCATTGTCACCGTTGTGTTCGAAGAAAGAAAGACATTTGTTTTCATTGCGAGAGAGAGACAGAGAGAATTTGAAACCAATAGTAGCGAGAGAGAGAGAGAGAGAATTTGAAACCAATAGTAGAGAGAGAGAGAGAGAGAGAATTTGAAACCAATAGTAGAGAGAGAGAGAGAGAGAATTTGAAACCAATAGTAGAGAGAGAGAGAGAGAGAGAGAGAGAGAATTTGAAACCAATAGTAGCGACACCATCAGGGCAACAAAGCATTAAGGGCAATAATTTTAGTGGTGTTGGTGGCCGCACTAAAAGAGACGGGAAGAAAAAGATCGTGTTTTTTTGGGTGATGCTAATAAGACACCCCTTAGACACCCTATAATCATTTTTATAAAAAATCAACCTATAATCAACTTCTTGTAATCATCTTTTTCGGAAAACAATGCAATTTCAACCAATAAAAATATTTCAAACATTAATTAGGGTTGTCTAAATGGTAAAATAGGGTGTCTTATTAGCCAACCCCCTTTTTTTTCAGAAATATTATCCACGACACCAAAAAGGGCAATATAAGAATTAGCACCCACATTAAGAGGGGGCTTGGATGTCGCACCTGTGACCTAACGTGCTGTACATCGTCTTAATGTCCACTTCAATTCGTCCATGTTGATGTCCCTATAGCCCAAATTTCTTTTAGTGAAGATTTATTTTTGTTGTAGTTGCTTTCTCTGTTTCGCATTAGACTCGCTATGAAGAA